GTTGTTTCGCATTTTTCGATAATGTCACCTACAGCTTCCATTCATTCTTTGCACCCTAGTTTTAGAGCGGAAAGGCGGGCTACGAACTTGTCGTCAACGGAAATCTCTTTTTTCGGATGATGAGACTCCGACACCTACTTTAGCCCCGTCTTACCCCTGCTGTTCACATAAGCCTACATAAACCCTACCCTGGGGGCGGCGGCGTGCGAAAACATACACTGGCCGTCCGTTATGGGTTAAAGAAATGTGAGTGAGTAACCCGATAAAGTAACAGCTCTGAAGAAGAACATGAGTAGAACAGAAATCTAGAGATCACAAAACAGCAGGAAGCTAAGAAGTCGAAGTTCGCGCTCTTCCAACCAGTTGGCAGAAACTTCGTTGTTCCTCTGGTTCTCGCTCCGCCCAATCGATTGTTCTCAAACAGTCTCATCGGAAAAACATCTTGAAATCATACAGATGACTGAGATCTCAGTCGTAAACATTTTAAGACATCGATAGACCTAGAACAAGCTGATGTTCTAGGTAGGTAAGATAAGGAGGGAATATTGTAAACGGAATGAAATTTGAATTACCCTAGCCGTTACACTTGAATCCAACGGTTTCTGTTCAGACGGCACACATGTCTGTTAGTGCCGCCGTCAAAAAACTTTTAGTCTCGTTTCTCGAAATCACTTTGAAGCTGTGTAGTGTTTTTTAATTAATGTGCACGGACTCATTCTATTTCCTACCACTTTGCAAGATACAACTAGATGTTAGAAGGTGTTGAGGAAACACACATATAGCAGTCACTGACCGTCCGTATGGGCTTGACTTTGTCTTCTAGCAATAGGCTGACATAAAACATCGCACCTCTGCTGCTAATAGTCATTTCGACGTATCTAGCGTACCCGACGTAAGCAAACCAGCCCTTTTGGCGTTTCGGCTGGGACCGTATGCTGAATGTTGGGGAGGGGATGGGGTCCCCAACGGTCGACGGTTTACTTCAACTCGGTTGGTACGATAGGAGAGTACTGACGCAAGTGGTGCAGCTGGTCCAGCAGCTCCGCCAGAAGGGCTGGTTTGCTCACCCCAGGACTAAGCCTTGGAGAGGGGACGGACCCGTCCTCTCTTTAAGGCTTAGTTCTGAGGTAAGCACCAAATTGTGGCGGTTCTAAGGACCGAGTTGAAGTGGTCCGTCCACCGTCGGGGACTCCATCCCCTCCCCAACATTCAGCATACGGTCCCAGCCGAAGCGCCAAAAGGGCTGGTTTGCTTACGTCTGGTACGCTCTCCAAATACATTAGTTTAGACGCAGATCCAAGCGTTATCTAAAACACTTTTATTGATGATGTTGGGTCTACAAAAAGATTATCAGAACACTGAAAAGAGAACTGTAAGAAAAACTGGACAATTTTGAAGAAAAATGGAGAAATTTGGTTCCCATTAGACTAAACACTGATCAACTGATTCCATACTCAGGCCCTACTAACGTTTCAGCGTCTCTAAAAGGTAACACACAAACTAATGGATCTGCTGATTGTTGCTTATAATGCGCTCACTGTTTCCGTCGGGCATTGTGAGCTTTTCAGAATAGTTTGAAATTTACTTGTAATTTGGTCATACACATTCACAGTAGAATAAGAATTGTCGAAAATCGTCGACCAAATGTAATGTCTACGTTTAGTGTAATGTTTGGTTACTGTAGCGCTCTAGATTGAAAGATATTGCAGATTGTTTCCATGTGGAGGTCAGCGAAGATTCATGATTGATTGTCAGTGCGAGGGATGTAAGCGAGCCGCGCCCATCGGCAATACGAAGACTTTGGCTTCTCGACACGTTGCTGCCTACTCGATCAGCTGTCCTAGTGGCGGCTTACGTTCTTCGCAAGCTGGGACGTTTAAATCGTTCACTAGGATACGATCGATTGATCACGGACGTTACGGTGCTCATTTAACAAAGCTTCCGGTCGCAGTCTCTGAGGGTCTATAATCAAATTGAAGTGTTCTGCAGCTGCCGCAGTTGCCATTTGTGGTGCATCAGCACAATTGTGAGCTCAGGCTCTTCCCGTGAGTTTTGAAGAAACGAGTCCTTCCTCAACTCACACTTTTTTGGATCACGATTCGATTCTACTAACCTTTTTGAACAGCGTGGCTTTCATTTTTCCGCATCAGTCTCGCAAATTTTGTGGTCTGGCATTTACGGCAACAAGTATCATTGCGTGCATATTAAAGGCTTTACACTCCCACACAATTCGGCGTCTCAGTTTCCATCTTATAAAACGCCAGCTAAGCACAAACTGGCTGAACAAATCAATAAGTAAGAACAGTTAGAGTCCCTTTGCGTTAGGGAGAACCTATCCCCCATCGACTATCAAGATTCCCACAGACGCCTAGAAGAAGGTGTAGGGGCGGGCGTTTTGAGTTTGCACCTCGCGCATGCGCAGTCTGGTCTAGGCTGTTACGCCGCAGTCTCACGGACACAATATAGTCCGATGGCCTTAGCAAGCCTCTTCTGCCTTTTTGGATACTCATTCATGGCATCGAGTTCCTCTTTGGATGGTGCTGCAGTTCCGTCTTAAGAATTGCGGCATTGATGGTGTTGAAGGCGAGCTACCCTGCTTAATTTAAAGCCTACGAATACCAAAGTTAGAGCTGAACGCGCTGACTTAAGCAAATTACTGAATTAAATTACTGAAATACTCAGTTATCACTCAGGTGCGGTCAGTGGTCATTATTGATCGAGTACTCGTTTTACCTGACTTGGGAATCGTGCTGAATCGGGTCAAATCGAAAATACGACATCACGCAGGACTTTTCATAAAAAATCGCGTTAGCGAGATCTAAGAGATTGCCAGCAAAATCAAGGGTTTGGGGTATTGCATCCAATTCAGCCACATCTCGTTGCAGTGCAACCCGGCGGATTGCGCTACGAGAGGTGGATAAGCATAGTTGCATAAATTCTTATAGTGGAAGGGCCTTAGATTTTATACGCGCGTTTCTACGTGCTGATTGCGGACGAAGTTTCAAGGGGCCATGAATAATTTGGAACCACGTTCTTCGAGGCAAAAATTAGAATGCTTAATAATTCGTGGCATAGACCCCTTCACGGTTAACAATGCCATCAGAGTTAGCGTGATGGATCCAGTTCTTCCAATCAGTGCGTGGACAGATCCTCAAAAAGGTTAAGCAAACAGTAGCATACGTGATGAGATTTAGATCAGTTCTGGGCAATCGAGTAACAAGCCAGAGAGGGCCTTCTGATTAACCGTTTTCAACGCTGTCAGCACTTTTGGATCTAAAAAGAGAAGGCGATAAGGTCGCTCGTTCTTTTGACAGCCTCGAGAATTAGCTCTAGCGGGGAACGCTGGTAAGACAGCATCGAATGACAGCTCCTACTACCGACATTCTCGGAAGGCTTTATCATTTAAATCTCAAGATGGACAAGTTCGGGATATGGCGATGCATTGAGCGCCCAGGTAAGAGTGCGCGAGATATGAAGATAATGATCCCAAATTTCCAATGTTGGTAATGCAGAAATCTTTGTGTATTCGCAATTGCTCGAGACCCTTACTGTTGGGTATAATGAATACCACAGTGAGGGTCTCTTCACCACGGATCATACCATGGCACAGATTCGGCAACGCTACTGGATACCTAAACTGCGACTACAAGTCACAGCAGCTATTCGGCGTTGTGTCCAGTATCAGAGGTTCAACAGCCTTCCGTTCGAATACCCCAAATGAAGTGATTTGCCTTTCATGATACTGCGATCGCAACCATTTGAACTTGTCGGTCGAAATTATGTCGGGCTCCTTCAACATAAGGGTAGAAGATGGCTCCATCAAAAAGTGTTATGGTTGCATAATCACGTGTTTAGCAACACGATTGATTCACCTGACATGGTATCTGATCTTTCCACCTACGCGTTTATACACATAGGTTCTTTGCAAGAAGGGGTATACCATCATCTATAACGAATGATAATGCCCGACCTTTACGCTTGGGGATACCGTTTTAAAGGAATACCATAGAAATGCGCAAGCCGATCCAGCGATTGCATTACATTATACCCAGACATTGATAAGCGACAACGAGATTCAATGGAATTATACTAACCCTTTTGCACCATGGCAAGTGGAAGGTCTATGAACGCTTGATAAGTATTGGTAAAATTGGCTTTATACAAGTTTCAAGGAAGGGCTACCTATCTGCCGAAGATATATCTACGGTTCTCATGGAAATTAGAAGCCATGCTGAATACTAGACCCCTGGTTTACACTGAGTCAGGGCCAAGGGAAAATAACCCTCTAAGACCTATCGATTTCTTGCAGAGAATTTCGAGATTCTATTCCATCTAATGCTGTTATCATCAATGATGACTCAACCGTACGTTCCCAGCGAAGAACGAGTGACACTGCAATCGAAAGTGCAAGCGATGGAAGCGTTGAAAAGCTCATGCGAAATGCCAGAAAAGTTTTGGCACAGATGGCAAACCGAGTACCTAACATCCTTACGGGAACGTCATCAACGAGAGGTCGGTAAACAACGAGGAAGCAGTTACGTACCGAAAGTAGGAAAAATAGTCCTTATATGCGACGCGCTTCAACCGCGACATTCCTGGAAAATGGGGCGTATCGAAACTCTAGTTCCCAACACCGAAGGAATCGTTCGAGAAGCAGTCGTGTCACTTCCATCTCATCGCAAGATTCGGAGACCGTGTGAATTTGTTAGGCTCTTAGAAATCGGCGACGAGTTTTGAGAGAATGGGTCCGGAAATGTAGACGACTCAGAAAGGAAAGGAACGACATTGGGGTATTAATCCACATAACGAAGGTACCCTTCCGGAGGGAACGCCTCAGCGTTAGAGTTTCCGCGCCAGATATTGCCTGAATTATTCCAAAAATTTTGTGGGCTTAGCGCCAGCAGGTCTCTGCCCATTAAACTGACCACAATCCTGAGTATGTTCATGATCCTTTGTTTTTCTCCAGGGTTCACGGCGGACTCAGAGGGGAACAGTCCTAGAAGCACAAGACAGCTGCGGTGTGTGCCAGGGGAGTAAGGTTGCTTTCATCTGACCAGAAACGTCACGAACTGTGCACCGAAGAGATTTGCTTGGCGTTCGATAGCTCACAAGTAGACGAAACAATTCGGTTTCCTCCGCACGTGATTCTTCATGAACATGTGGTACAATGGAAATTTGAAGAAAATGGCACAATACATACGCTAGAAATTACTTGCCCAGCGGCGCCATTCTGCGAAAATATAGATTGCACCCTATGCGCAGATGTACTATTAGTTTGTTTGGTTTTTTTCCATTTTAGATTGCAATGCTTTCCTAATATTCGTGGTTTTCGTTACGTAAAATGGGTGGAAACGACACCTTAGGAATACGGTTTTGCTGCTGCATCGGGTAGCCAATGCGGTAGCCATCTGTTCAGCTTTTTCACCTCCCCAATTATCTTCATGAGACACAATCTTTTCAATATACTTACTCCCAGTCCTACTGCTAACTATAGTGCAGTTGGTCCGAAACCATCTTCTACGGGAACCTTTAGAAGGCCGTCATTAACAGCGGATCATGCTCATGACTCCCCCACCTTCACGATTGTTTGGAACCGAATGTTGTGCTATGCTTTTATTGGTGCTTCCTTGGCCCCTTCCTTCAGTGTTATTTCGACTGGTCTACGAAGCACTACCTCAGAGTTTCAGCACATCGAAGTAAACTTGCCAAAATCGCTGTCTTGACACCTTTATTTCAAATCTATAAAAACCCCGAAATAGCAAGCCATATTGAAACTCAAATACACTGAAGGAAAGAAGATACAATAGGCTTGCCAATGATATATAGGGCTTCAGGTCTCGAATGAAATATCAGTATAAAAATATTTCATGAATGCATGGCATCTCGAAACCCGCATTACTTTCCGAACAACCTAATATCAACCCGGTATGCTGGTACATAGGGGCAATAATGATCAGTGCTATTTTCCCTTATTGGTACTTTTGGGAAGCTATGTCCTCCCATACCTCCCGCTGGTAATTGGTCGACCTGTACGAGTTTGATGTGGGCCGATGTGCGCGCCATTTTCCATATACTCTTCCTAAGAAATGCCCGAGAAAGGAGACAGAAGATTGGGTTGAGTCATTTGCTCGCGGTTCAACGATCCTGAATCTAATTCTTCCGGTCGGAGATTGCCAAGAACTTAATGTGCTTTCACATCATGAGAGGGTGTTAAAAGGGAAAGAAAACCTGTAAAGTTCGCGTTTCAGAAGCGATGAAAATCAACCCTTCAAAAAAGCCGCATGCATTAAGTTACGAAGTAACTTCTCAGTAGTGCGTGAGAGTTGAGTTACATGGGATTCACATCGTCTTTCATGCGAACCTCGAAGTATGCTTTTCACTCGTGACACAACATACCACGTCATTAACAGTAAAAGATGCCCCTCGCTTAGGCTCCGTGCAGAGATGACAAATGTGCAGCGACATAAATCGTCATTGATAGACGAGTTGAGCAAAGGAAATCAACATCCAGCGTTACCTCACGTGTCGAGCCTTGCGGAGAGTTTGGTTGTGATTGCTTTCGGTGGGGTTCAGGGTACTTATTTCATCGAATATAACTTGAAGCTATGAGTCAGGATTAGGCAACCAGCAGAAGTTTCCTAGGGCGCGATGGTGGGCTCCCCAAGCACCGGGGGCGCGACACTGTCGCGACTCAAAAGTTCGAGGCACCGGCGCTAAGACCCTGCATTGTGTGCTGCCGTGCTGCCAGCGTTATCAACCACGCATACGTGGTCTCTGCGTCCTCTCGCGTACGACGTACTATCTCGCGTTCTCCCTCTCCTCGCAGCGCTGTGTCTCTCCGTCGTACTACGGCCGGCCTCCTAAGGGAAATTTAGTGTTTTCTATGGTGCTTTTTGCTTTTTCTCCTCACTAATGTTCCTCATTGCACCCCTTGCCTAATGTTTGAACAAAATAACGCATCAATTCAATCCCGACTCGTGCCTTTAAGCGAATAACCCCAATTTTCGAGATCTTAAGATGCACAACATGGAAACAAGGCGACAAAACTAAGTAATTATAATTGCGGAACGATGCCTAACACAAACAACCAAAACAGAGGTGGGTCTGCTACGGCCCAACGTTTTGCTAAAATGTATGTCATACTTTTTTAGTTTGAGTTCCATAATGGCACCCCCTCTTCCATCCTTATGCTCCACTTATCACGGATGGGACAGATACAGCGCTGTGGGATTCGCACCTCTGGTGCCCCCACTCCAATGTAAAACCCCGGAATCGGCAAGAATTCTTTAGTGCGAGGTAATGGAGACTGCGCATGCAATTCAGCAGAAACGAAAATGATGTGTAGTTGTAAGGAAGTTAACATCTCAGGCTGGTTTCAAAACTTGCAGAACAGACTACCCATTGAAACACCTTCTCTGGTATTCTTTAGGAATCGATTAGGGGACGTAGAAGCCCGCATCCCGACCATGACTACATCAGAGATCATAGTGACACTTGATGAAGACCTTGAAACAGAGCTCTCGATCGGAAGACACGAAATGTCAGGTCGATAACGGATTATTGATTGGGTGTTATAAGTGTTCGTAGGAAGCAGTAGCACAAGTGGCATGTAGGTCATCCAAACCAACACTTGCGGTAAATCGTTTGTGACCAAACGATTTTCAGCATCAAGTGTAACGAAAGAGGGCGACAATCTTCCCTGCTATTCAGGG